CGATCCTTATGTGTGTGGCGGTTTTATATGTATTTCTGTCTGACTGTGTCTGCGTCTGTCTTTTTGCTTGTATCTGTGTCTGTGATACAAGACCTAGTGGCCTTCCATCAACTGCGATTTCATTTGATTAAATACACGGGTGATGATGATCTCGTGCTTCCTCATGCAGGGTAGGGAGGAGCCAAAGAAACTGACAGTTTTACCCACTAATAAGATGTTAAAGAATTATGATAATGAAAGATTTACATGAATGACAGGATCAAAGACATGTCTGTACAACCAAAACATTTCCAATAATATAAAAAGTATACCTTACAAAACCCAAGTCAATACGAATACCCCTTTCCCACCCGACAGAGAAGGACTGCAGCATTGCCTGTCCTGACGATGTCGACCCCGTGTGTGGGAGCAACGGCGTCACTTACAGGAATTCCTGCTTCTACAACATTGCCCGCTGCCGAGACCCTGATGTCAGAAAGGTCGCCAACGCCCCGTGTGGTGAGTTTACGCGGCTTGCATTGCACATTCCTACACTGTTACAAGTCTTTACTTAATGGGTAGTTATTCATGATGCAAGTTGAATTTGTTTGGTTTCATGTAAGGTTAAGTGATATTCAGTGTATTCTGGCTTGAATTTGTAGTCTTTTGGGTTACCTCTGAGCTGTCCTGTACATGCCTCAGTAAAGAATTTTTCTCAATACATAAAGAAATATAATGAGCCAGTTCAACCCAGACTCAGGATTCTGCATGACAATAATTCTTCTCAAATATTACAACTAAAACTAGTGCCTTTCTTGCAGCTGATCCAAAGGTCAACAGATGCGACTTCTCCTGCGACACATCCATCAACCCGGTCTGTGGCAGCGATGGCCGCACGTACCGTAATCAGTGCGAACTTGAGGCTACCGCTTGCACGCAGAGAAGTCTGATCAAGCTCTACGATGGACAGTGCCGTGAGTTCAGACCTGCGCTTAGAAGTTGCTTGGATGTCCATTTATATGTGGAAATATATGTTAATAGATATATTGATAGATAGGTGGCTATATGAGTAGTTAGACAAATCAATGATGAAATAGATGATGAATACGTAGGTAGACAGATATAAACGAAGATGAAATAGATGATGAATACATAGGTAGACAGATATAATATCATATACAGAGGGGATATATATATAAGATGCTTAGCTGATCTTGTCATTAACTGCACATATGGCGGGATCAGCTAGAAAAATATTAGATGGCAATTCCATTTCTAGATTTCTTTGCTACTTGTAAATAAGTGCGTGATGTATAATATCCTTGTGAAATGAATCAATAGTGTTTATTAAGTATCCTTATATTAGTGGGACTTTTCCATTGGGCATTTTACCTTCAGGCTGATTTTTTTTCATAAATAATGTTATCTGTTATCTAGTCATTTGGATTTAACCCATACAAAATGTTGCCTATTGCTGATTGTAGTCTCCATTTGGTAAATCTCTGGTTTAATTTTGCTTGTTTCAAAGTAAGGAAATAATAAATTTATTTCAAAATTATATTGCCCATCCCTAAACTGGCATTTGATGAAATTACTTAGTCATGAGAAAAATTATTTTAATATTGGTAACCAATACCGATTGAAGGAGAAATTAGTTATTTTACTCCAAGCACAAAAAGTACCGCATTGGAGCAGAATAAAAAATTCAGAAATCCCAACATTTAGTTTGGAGTAAAAAATGTGTGCTCTTTTATTATCACGTCAGTATGAACATGCATGAAGTATTAGTATGTACTCGACACTTTCGCTGCAGGTCATACGAAACGTATAGTTATTGCTGAACATTGGTAATTTCAGTAATTTCAGTACTAACTGGCAGTGCATAATAAGAACCCTATCTTCCACAGAGGAGCAGCGAGGAGCACGTTGCGATACAGTTTGCCCAGATGTAGTGGAGGAAGTGTGTGGGGACAACGGGAAAACCTACAGAAGTCACTGTGATCTTATTGTGCTGTCTTGCCGTGCGAACGTACGTGTTAACAAGGCTTATGACGGACGTTGTCGCAGGGCATGAATAGTATGAAGACGAGGAAAATAAGAGAAGATGAGAAAAGAGGAGAGAAAAAAAGAGGAAGATGGTAAGAAGACAGAACAGGAGGGCAGAATATTGCAAAATACGAAATTTGGGTTTAGTGATATACCTAGGGGATATGAGTAATGTTTATTTTCCTTATATGAATGATATATATATACAATTTGGTTGACATCACTGATCTTGAGCATGGGCATCTTACATGTGCTAATATATAATCAGCAAGTACATTTCTAATGACTGAAAGACAAATGTATTCTGCACTCATGTGAATATCAAATCACATGAAATGCATTTTGGAATAAAATCTAATACATGTGTTTGTATAAATTACAAATACAATATTGCTTAAAAAGAGAAGTAATTTTGGATGGTTTTACTCAGTGATAATTTGCTGGGAAGATGTAAACAATAAAATATAGAAAATGAACAAATCCAATTGTTTTATTTTGTAAGTTATTTTACCAGTGCCTATGTATAATACAATTTTGTTAAATAACTCACTGTTGATTGGATGGCAAGAATACATGCCATGTCCATTGTCTTTCTGTTTATTATCTTTACACAATGATGGCTCTAATAGTGTTTACTCACGAAGGAGTCAGTCTCATCTACCTACCCTTTTCATGGAAAGGGAAAATCATGTAGTTTTGCTAATTAACTCTTTGGTGGCTGAATAGTTGTGGAGCCATCTACAAACAAATGTCCTAAAGAAAACAGTAGACAATGAGATTTACTGGCACCATTGGATTAACATGGCCTTATTTGAGTCCTGCATTTTCATGAGGTACTCTTAATTAACAAGAGGTTTTTAAATCCAGGTCTCTTTTTATTCAAAAGTTATAATATAACTATAACATACATACCTTTATAATCCATATTTATACTCCACCCATATTAGATGTACATTTTAAGGACCTCTCATAAAATATGAAAGTTTTTTTATATCTAATAAAATAAGACTAGAGAAGGTTTCATATTTGAACAACAAAAATATTTGTTGTAATTTCCTGGAATAAAGATCCAACAACCTTTTTCCCTGGTTGTGCTGCAGTCTCTCCTTTGTCAATTTACTTTGGCCTGTCAGTGTGTTCTGTGGTGACCTTACTGTTTTGCAGCATTTATGTATTTTAGGATCAAAGTAGTTTGTTATTCAACTGTTAGTTTTATCATTGTCTTCCTATATTCCCTCTCTTTTTTCCTTAGTAACATGATAAGCATACCTTGTTAGAAACAGTATAAGCTAAGTATGTACAATAAAAAGCTCTTGGAAAAATAAAAAATACATAGATGCACTCATTAAAAGATCTGGTAAAGGAAGCGAGTAGAGGTGTATGTTGCCGTTATATTTATGTATCTAGTCCATGTCTCTGCTGAAAAAACAACAGGTGTTTCATTAGTTTGGGATAGACATTGCCTGTTGGATTTCACCCTAATATTAGACACTAAAAAAAACAAGCTTTGCATAGCTATTCATGTACAAATATGTACATAACCCAGAAGTATGAAAGCATGCACCTATGTCCATTGTCTGTGAACATGGCCTACCTTTTAAAATACTGCAAAACATAAACCCTAAACACTGCCCTCCTTTCCCCCCTAACTACAGCCATGAGTTTTTAACTTTCAGTGTGGCAAAGTTAGTGTTCTATGTTTCATGAGCTCAGTTTTACACACCAAAGAATGTTTATCTTATGTCAGGGTGGTGTCAAATAGTTTTCAGACAGTGGAGCATCAAAGCTAAAAAAGTTCTCTCTCAAGCACGGAAAAAAGTATATAAAACACATGTAACAATATAAAACACATCTTTATCATGATTCAGAGAGCAATATTTATGTTTCATAACAAAAAGAAAAACAGTATATTTAAGCTGTCATACCAACTGGAAAGGGGGCTGGGGAGTCCTTGGGGAAAGTGAAGGGGATGGGGAGGTGGACGTAATGGTTTCCAAACCTTAAAGTGGGGGTGGCAGAAAAGGTGAGACGAGACGCCAACTAGACATGGGAGAATACCCAGATGGGTATAAGGAAGCTTAGGGATGTGGGTACAGCTTCCCATGGTAGTCAGGCTAGAAAAAAGATGCTGGATGGTACAAGACATACGAGTTTACATCCCCTTCTCCCTATTCACGGCAAAAAAAGGATCATGAAAACAGCCCAATTACTGAAAGTTAATACTTTATCAAGGTAATTTTAATCTTGAGGGTTTAATCCCTATGTGATTATCCAACCACCTCCCTCTTCTCCCTCCTTCTCTCACTCGTCTGTCTGACTCCTTCTCAGAAATAGCACCTATGATTATATACAAACATTATAACACAGCCCTGAAACCTTTGTTGGCTATATAGAACAAACCATAATTCTAAAAATATACCAATAAGCTGAAATTGTTACTGCAAAGAAAGAAAATAAAAAATATATATAACCCAGATAAGCATATGCTGTAGTGCCAGAAAATCTGACACAACAATCTTAGCAATGATGATGTTCAATTAATGCCTAGAAAAGGTGAAATCCCATCAGCACTTATTCTGATCTTTCTTTGATCCCATCAGGTTGGGACCTGAGGTTTTAGTGATGTAAAATTACGCAACAGTCTATACTTTGTGGCTAGGCCTAAGCTGTGTACAGCCGGCTCACCCATTGTGAGTCATGACGCGCACATATGTCATAGACCATTACATCATGACGGCTAGAGCTGTACACGTCACAAGGCTTAATCCAATTCACAATATCTTTCAAATTATTCATATTCCCAACTTTTTTTTATATCATTTGAGACATTTAATATATATAACAACAAGAGTAACATACAAACAATTTATTACATTTTCCCTTTTTATATACACTTCCTTTAACAAGCACACTTTTACAAAATACATCCATGTACCAGATATTTCCCACACAATTCTACACTGTATGTAAACTGCTTTCATCATGATTATATACAAATATACAATGCATATGTATGTTGTTGATTAACATAAAATGGATAAGAAAATAGTGCTGCTATACTGTCTATTCAATACTTTTTTGTAATCTGACAATCAACTGAGTTAAGAATGAATTATACAGTGACTAGCTGTTCAATATAATCTTTACATATATTCAATGGAATAAGCAAATATTAGCAACTTTGCAAGATAATGCTAGAGAATCCTAATGAAAAACTAAAAGCTTTACAAAAAAAGAAAAAAAAAAAAAATCTAGACAAAAAATTATTTATAACTTTACAAGAAAATTCATAGAAAAATAGATTCTCTGGTAAAACTGTACCTCTATTACTATAAAGACTAATCCTATTATTTCACAACTGTTCATAAAAAAGAAAAATAATCCGTAATAAATCAACCTCATAATTTCTCAGAATAAATACAACATATCTAACAATGACAACATATAATGACTGGATAATAATTATAATAATCCACACCACAGATGGAAACAGCAAGCATTGACGAAATCTTGCACAAGAACTTGTATCCTGCTATCTCGGATGATTGGCTCTGAGCTCTCCCCCTTCAGCTGCTTGTTCACGCAACACAGGTCCTAAATGATGAAAAAATAAATACATGAATAAATATAAGAATGAATTCCTAATAGCAAAAAGAAAAGGCAGAAACAGAAGTAGGTAAACTAAAATTTGAATTTGCATAATACCAAAGCTGCATATATATATATATATATATATATATATATATATATATATATATATATATATATATATATATATATATATATATATATATATATATATATATATATAATATATATATATATATTATATATATATATATATATATATATATATATATATATATATATATATATATATAGCATCACATATCCTATATAACGGAGAAAATGAAAGAGAAAGAAAAGAAAAAAACAATGTCAATGCTTAACTGAATTTTCACAAAAAACAAGAACTAGTAATAAAAAAGTAAAAAAATAATGAACAAAGAAATACAGTTAATTTTAGGAATTGAATTCAACTTACAGCTTTCTGCTTGTACAGATCTACTGAGAGCATCATAAAGGCATCTGGACACGAAGGACTCAAGATAACGTTGTGTTGAACGTTGCCGTCATTCGAGGTTAAACTCCTGAGCCAAATGAGAACAGAGTATTATAAATATATGTATAATATAAAAACCAACATATCTAAACATAACAATATACTTGGGTAGAAAAACCCATAAATACATATTCTTATGCCCAGGCTGGAACACTGCAAAACAATTCTTATACTAGAGAAAGATATCTAAAATTAAAGTCTTACCTGTGTCTTTCTTGGTACTTTGCTTGCAACACTCTAGTCAAGGTCTGATACCACTGGAGAGGCTTTGTGATAAGAGGCAGTAACTGTGGATCAACTGAACTCAATGGCTCAACTCGCACTAAACTCAACAGTTCACTGAGCTCCCTAAAACTCAAACCACTGAGAGCCTGAAAGGAGAAAATTGTAGAAATCTTTGAAAACAATTCTTCAAGGTAATCTATGCAATATGTGGTATGCCTTGTTTTTTCATATATTTGTATATAATAAAGGCATTTGCTATTTTGACAGCCAAATCATCACTTATTAATGATGTAAGATATAACAGTTTAACATCTAACCTGGCTTGGCAACTTCTGCCTGTCTTCATCTCGGACACTTGCTGTCAATCTCTGCCACAAAGAGTCACGCCTAAAAGAAAAGATTAATATTCATAAATCATGTATAACCATACACTTAAATGCTTAAAAAGTATCCAAATCTATTTTATATAACAAACTCACACACACTTACTTGCTCGCTCACTCACTCACTTTCTCTAGTACTACTATTACCTCTGCTAAGATTATGTTTTTGGTTGTGTTGGTTAGTTTGTTTGTTTGTTCATTGGTTAGCAGAATAACTCAAAAAGTTATGCATAGATTTTTCTGAAATTTTTATCAGAAGCCATAAAATTTTGATGGCTATCCAGATACTATTTGTCGATTTGTTAGCAGAATAACTAAAAAAATGATGAACAACTTTTTATGATAATTTCATTAGGGGTGTGTCTTAGCCTCAGTTTCCATAAAATTTTGGTGGTAATTTAGCCCTATTGCCTTGCCTCCACCAAGGAGATTATGTTTACAGATGCCACCTGTGTACTTGAGAGAGGTGATTTTCATGTAATATTTTAAGTGTGAATAGTTTTATTTACCTGCAATGTATCTTTGCTTGATTAAAGATATGCTGAATACGAGTCCTTGCTTCTTCGGCCTGATTCAGTAGTGTTTTCTGCATTGTCTCTTCGTAAACTGTGTAGTAGCCGAGGTAATTCACACTCTCCAGCCTAAATGATTGAAGGATAACATGTGAAGTCTTCCATTCAAATTGAGATTTAATTAAATGGAATTTCCATATAAATGATCAAAATGTAGGGAGCCAAGTAAAAAATCATAAAAATAATCACAATATCAATCATCATTCATAGGAAGAACATTATGGAAACAAAATCATTACTCTTCTCCTTGATTTTTGGAAATACTATCATTTCTCTTTTATTGCTATTAATATTGTAAATAACATGTTAATAACAATAATGTCAATAACAAAAATAATAACAAAAGCATCAGAAACAAGCAATTTTTCCAAAAACTCAAGGAAAGGGGAAAAAAGGTAAGGTTACATAGGCCTACTGACTAACTCATTGTTGGCTGAACACTTAAGGTATGGTCACACTTCCCATAGAAATCTAGCAATTTTTAATGAAATTTGCCTTTCAATGGACTCAATCCAATGGACTTTCACCCACACTTGGATGTGATGGATACCCACTCGTCCTTTGATGAACAAATGGAAAAATTGCACACTAGAATCTATAGCATACATGGTATGCATATATTTTCTTTCAGAGCATAAATATTATTATATATCTTTAATTATTCAGAATTATTCATATCTATTTTTACATCAATATTTACATTTAAATTTAAGCTAAAATACAAATAAAAAGTAAAAACAAAAGCATTGACCATGGATTCTCATTTAACTAACGAATATAAACAAATGAGTAGCTGCCAACTTCAAGGTGAAACCACAGATTCCATGAATATTTGAAATAAAGAATTCTGCAATTTACTCCCTCCTAGAAAAGACTAGAACTCCACAAACCTAACAGAGTAGCAAGAATTAGGGAGATGATTCCAGGATCAATAGCAAGTTTCTGCGGTCATGATTTGTTTTGATGCCGCAATTCTGCTGGACAAAGTTGATGATGCTTTCCACAGTGTGAACACCACATACTGGTGGGTTGGTTCCAGCCCACGGAAAACTGCTGGATGCCAGTGAAATTTATGGACAGTCTGACCGTACCTTTAAAGTGTCATCTATATGTAAAAATTTCAATAAACAAAACTGCAGTGGACATTACATGCTCCCAGCAGCAATGGGTTACGTGGAGGGAGAAAAAACAAAAACAAAAAAACTCTCCCCTCCTACCTGTACCTTTGCACTGGTGTGAGAATTATCATTCAGATTAACTCCAAATACAATTTCATTCATCCATTCCTCTAAAACTGATGCTCTGCTTTTAATTTGTTCAAAGTATTTTGTTTCTTGGGATTTGACAAATAAAGAAAAATGAAAGCATGATCTAATCCCCCCTCCCCCGAAAAAAAAACTTTACTTAGATTAAAGTCTGATCTTAAAAAAAAATAGAAAGAAAGAAAGAAAGAAAAAAAAAAAATACTTCTTGATGTGATTAACATATAAAGCCCCTAACATAAAATTTAAGGACTACTGATAAACAATGGTCATAAAATAAAGCAAAGAAATTAACCCATCCGTCCCGGGTGTCAAATCGGCGCGGGTGGGTTAATAATGGCATCAGGACGCTTTACAAGGTGCAGCTGATACATAACTACCATCCATCACATGCATCAATAAACAGAAATCTCACCTGATCCCTATGTAAGACTTGACAGGGGGTGGAGGATCACTTGAGGTGGTGGAGGTGTGGGTGGAGGTGGACAGTGGAGGAGGGGGAGGTTGTAGCCCTGGGGGAGGTTGGAGATGGCCCCCTGCCTCCGTGAAGGCCTGGCTGGACAGTATAGGAGGAGTGCAACACCCGCTCTCATTACTGCTCTCTGAAAGGGAAAGTACGTGTGTGAAATCTTATCATGAACCTCAATGAAGAACAAAAAGGGGGAAAAAAAATGAATAAATAAAAAAAATATGTACATGAAGAAACCAAGCCTAACCACAACCAGCTGTACCTGGCTGAGAAGAGGTTGCAGTCTTCCAGTGTCCGAGTGATGGTGCTGTTGAGACAGTGCGAAATTTGCCCATTTTCTTTTCAAGGATACGATTTGGATACATCTCTCTGGGGGGAGGAAATGGAAAAAGACTTCTCAATAATCAACCTTAATAATAAATATTTCTTGAACATTCATGAGTATTATAAACTTTGGGGGAAAATAAATAAGTAAATAGAAGGGGTAACAGATATTCAGGCATTCAAATGCTTTTCATCCATATTCATGAATATAACTCTTTTTGTACCAGACCCTATTAAGGAAATTAACAAAATAACCTATTAGGAAAAGATCTATATATGTAGGCTTTACAAGGCCTTGATAGAAACAGAAACAGAGGAAAAAAAAAAAAAAAAAAAAAAAAAAAAAAAAAAAAAAAAAAAATAATATATAATATATATATATTATATATATATATATATATATATATATATATATATATATATATATATATATATTATATATAATATTATATATAATAAAAAAATAAATACAGCAAGATTTTGATTCATCATACCGTCTGCTGGTTAAGATGACATAGAAGTTGAGATGCAGAACATTCAGCTGCTGATCCGAGGGCTGGGCATCGAGTGTCGCATTGTGAGAGACCAGCAAAGTAACATCATAGTCATCAGACACTCTCTGGTCATTGGCATCACTGTAGTGAACTCGGCATGTCTTTGTGTGGACTAAGACAAATTCTGTGTATTGCTGAAAAGCAGGTTAAATATTGCTCTATAAGTAGTCATAAAGTTTTATAGCTTATAAAATAAAGCTTGAGAGATTAAAGGGTTACTATACTTAAATCCACAAGCCATCCATAAATATTTATAAAAAGATGGATAGCTTTCATTTCTAAGTATACAAGACACGCACATTAGGAGAAGCTCACTTAAAGTACCAGGTAGAAAAGAAAAAGGAGAAACTTTACCATGTTGATCTGATAATATGCAGGGCTAGGAATTGCACGGCCCAATTAGAAAATTGATGGTGGGGCCCCTATTCTACATAGTAAAATTTATGGATGTTTATATTTCATATAAAAAAAAACATATAAACCAACAAAAAGATTAAATAAACATTAATTGCTTGGTATAATAAATACATAATAAATTAATATTATGAGGAAGAATATCTTATTCTTTATTCCACATCTTTAGTTGTATTTTGTCCCTCATATGATAAAAAAGGGCCCAGATGGCACGGGGCCCCTTCAGGTGTGGGGCCCAATTTGATCAAATCGATCAAATTGGCTTAAAACTGGCCCTGATAATATGCCATTTCCAGAAAAGCTTGAGTATCAACTACTCAGATATTTATGAAATAAAGTAATTTTCTTACTTAATATGCTCAATGCAGGATGGACATTAAACATTACAAAAAAGTATCTTCATTTCATCAGTAATAATTTGTCTGCAGAATATACATGCTGCTTTCTGTTTATCATTTCCTGAAATATCAACTTTATTTCACTCAGTTGCCTTTTACCTTCGACTACCATCAACTATCTTGCTGTCCTGCTTCTCTTAATGCCAGGGAGACACTGAGACTAAGACAAGTAGCAGTTTACAAACTCCAAACTATTCTTTCTAAATTATTTACAGAGAAATAAAAAATGTTAAACAAGAAACTTTGATACTGGATTTGTCTTCAAATTCAGTGGCAGTATTATTCAACAGAATATAGAAGTTTAGAATGAAATATTCTAATTGACCTTTAATCCATTACCGCTGCTATATTTTGAAGCCGAAAATAAAGTTTCTGGACAGCTATAAAATAGGGGCTGGCCCGGACTTTGCCCGCTGCTGCGTTGGAGTGCGAGCCCCAATACAGTGTCACACTGGTGGGACGCTCGGCAATTCTTTTTTTCGGGGGTCTTATATGTGGGACACCCGTTGTTACTGGGTTAACTGATTATTGAGATGAAACAAAATCAATAGTATGTTGACATTCAAAAACTCCAGGGGACTTAGAGGGAAGAAAACTAGGATGAAATAAATGTAATGCATTCTAATATATATACAACATACTGCCTATAAATCTTATCCACAACTAAAACCAAAAATGATAGTGATGCCTAGCCTAAATCCAAATCTTCAATTAGGCACTTGTATATAAACTTCTCTTGAAATCAAAGATGATTTGCACTTTATAAAAATATGCTTCTCCCATTATTCAAATATGTTTTCATCTATTTCCTAAAGCATTTACATAGCATTTTTTCTTTATAACCATAACTTTTTCAGCAATAAATATTGGAGGGGTATGGAATTTACCATATCTGCTGTTGGGTCTAGGATAACTGGTGTCATCCGCAGAACTCTCATCTTGTACTGCTTCTCACGAGCCAAGAGATAATTATACAACTGTTCACCTGGAGAGCCAGTGTCCTCAACAGTCAATTCACCTGAAGATTATAGAGAGATCAAAGTTTCCCGAATTTAGAAATATCATACCAATGGTATCTGCTTCTGTGAATCATGAATCAATTTTAGTTTAGCCTTATGTTATCAAGAGAATGTTCTCAGCTTCTAACAATCAATATAACTGCACATTACAATTGTTAGTTACATTTACTGTCATTGTTATCTGTGCATACCTGAATATATAAGGTTTCTTGCAAAGTTTGGTCCTTTGTTGTAATACTTAATGAAATCAGAGAGAAACGAAGACAAATGGTATCCTGGCGTAAACAGGAGCTGGCGGTCTGCAACGTATGCACACACAGCCCGTAGGTGAAAGTCATAGGTGAAGGAATGCATATGCAGCAACACCTTCACGTTGTCCACTTCATCCAGGAAGAAATTGATGGCAAACTGCAACACAGGGAAGTGATGATACATATTACAGTTCCCATTTATATCTATATTTTCTAGCTCCAATTATCTCTTTATCTCTTTACAATAGTTTAACCTTTACATCTGAAGAGGATATATAAATAAATGGTCATAATATCAGAACAAGGAAGACTACAATTTATCTTTAGTCTCAAGCAGCAAGCTTAATGTTAATTCTGGCACTATTTATTTACTCTCAAAGACCCGAGAATTCTGGCCAAAAGGGCTAAAAGTTCTTCACAGATTAAAAAAAGGATCTCAAGTTATTGAATAAAATGTTTTAACACATATTTCCATCAGCTGCCTCTCCAGTCAACTTTAAAAAGTTTTTAACATATGACACAAAGAAGGTAGCTATCCTCAGTGTAAGTGTAAAGTTGTTATACCAAAAAACAAATATTAGTACCAATCAAACATTAGTTAATAATAATCCCCTGAAAACATAAAACAAAAACAACAATTTTATCATTTTCATCATCAACAGGGATCAAATGAAATCCAGTCTTTCTGGAAAACAGCTAAAAAGAAGACAGCTTTTTCTATAGCTGAAAGATATCTCAAGGGGGAGTCTTTTCCACGATAATCAAGAAGGTAAGCTTTATTACCTCGGGGTCAGTACAGAGAAAAAAGCAATTAGGCATAAAGCAGACACAAAAAAAGGAAAAATAATAATAGATATATCTAATTCCTGATCCAAAGAAACTTCTTAGATTTCTATGTACACAGGTTTAAAAATTTATACACAATTATCCCACATTAGTTTGACTGACCTAATTGTACAAATAGGTTACAATCTCACAAATAACACACAAAAAATCATCATCAGTTGTTACATCAATATAGAGTAAGAGATGGAAACAAATATATTAATCTGAAAGTGTACAAATACTTGAACATTAATAATTATCTACATGTAAAATTTCTATCTAAGCTGCTATCCTAAAACACATGAAAAGGTAGGAAGGGAAAATACTGTCTTTTAAAATATGACCCAATGAATGTGGGGAAGATATTTCCTTTTCTATTAAGATTTTGTTTATGATTCAACTTATCAATTTTAAGGAATTTCAAAGATTCTGAAATTAAAATACTTTTTAGATCATTAAATGGTACTATGCTAATCTACTTATCATCAGATAAAAAAAAGGATTTTAATATATTTATATATATATATATATATATATATATATATATATATATATATATATATAATATATATATATATATATATATATATTATACACAGTGAACCTCACTATAATGCGGTTCACCTTTCACGTTCTCGCTGCTTCACTGATTTGCATTGTGCATTGTGTTCTGCATTCTGATTGGCTAAGCAGTCTCTCTGCTTCTCTACCTGTGTCAATAATGTTACAGTTTAATATGTACATGTACATAAAACAGCTTGCCAAATTTAAGTTTGCAAATTTTCTCTAAAACCTATGAAGCCTTCAGTTTGTATTGATGACTAAAATTATTATTTTACAGTACAGTAGTTATTTGTAAAAAACGTTTATACAGTACTTTTATTTGTTAAACAAATGCTTGGGCTTGTAAAAAGGTTTTGTTCTTTGGTTTCAATGTATTGTAGAGTATTTCATTGTATAATAATTGTAAAAAAAAATAAAGGTTACTACTTCACGGATTTCGCCTATCATGGGTTCTTTTTGGAACGTAACCCCCGCGAAAAACGAGGGTTCACTGTACACACACACACACACACACACACACACACACACACACACACACACACACACACACACACACATATATATATGTATATATATATATATATATATATATATATATATATATTATATATATATATATATATATATATATATATATATATATATATATATATTATATATATATATATATATATATATATATATATATATACATATATACATATATAATTATATATATATATATATAATATATTATATATATATATTATATATATATATATATATATATATATTATATATATATATATATCAATGGACAGCTGACTGGAAAAAAATGTACTTGCTCAAGAAATTTCTCCCCTCTATTTCTCCTGATCATTCTCGAAGAAAGCTGTGATAAGCGCGGGCTAATGCTTCAATAAATAAATAAATAAATAAGTAAATAAATGATAAAAGGCCAATAAATATTTATGACAAAAGAATCTAATTGTAATATAAGCTCATTCTACAATATATCAAAGGTATCTCTAACAATATCAGTAAAGATTACACTATCCATTGTCAAAAAAAGATAGAGGAATTGTCATACAAGATCAATTTAAGAATATGAGGAAATATATAATACATGAAAAAAATTACACTCTTATGATTTTCCTAAGAGATAAAGGGATACCAGGCCCCTATGAGAAAAAAAAATTGCAAATGCTAAAAAATTAAATTAAACCAAAGTATTAAACCATTTTGTACCAATTCCTTGATTATATCATGTGTAATAAATAAATACATAAAACAATACATTATAAATAGATCCACAAATAAATCACATAAGCAATTAGCTCTATATACATACATACAGTAGTGTATGTATTTGCCTGTGCATGTATGCATCTACACTTGGTGTCTCCTCTAAGAATTCCATCCACTGCAAATGTTTACAAAAATCACACAGAAACTTACATGAAGTTGCACTCATAAAAAACAAACACACACACACATGAATATTTAACTTTAGTGCACAATAGACAAGCCACTGCTGATTAGAGACTTAAACATGTCTGCTATTACCCTGTACATTAATCAATGATTTGGGGAAAACAAATAGCAGCAGCATTAACTAAAATTCTGCCATACAAAGACACGCACACAGTTAATGCTGCCTAATAAAATTCACTAGCCTTGCAAAACCTTGCACTTATTCAGATATACAATTATAAAATGACAGCATCATACAGTACTAGCTTGTCTAAAAGTACTGTAAATGCAGCTGAAAAAAACATAACCCTTTGGGAATAATCAATGTTATAAGGAAAGGCTGTTATTGTTTTAAAATGTGTTATTTGTTAAAAGTTGTTATTTGCTGTGAGAATTTATATATAAATATAGAGGAATATGAGTTTAATAGTGTTGAGACAAGGATACAGAGCCAGTCTGAAGACCCATGGAATATTTATAATAGTGAGCTGACCCTAGGAGGTAGGTATAGGTTCTGGTTTTAGGCACTCACTCACTCACTCACTCTCTCTTCTGTTTTTTATCATTATTTTCCTTTCCATTAAAGAAAGAAAGAAAGAAAAAAACAGAGACAGAGAGAGAGAGAGAGAGAGAGAGAGAGAGAGAGAGAGAGAGAGAGAGAGAGAGAGAGAGAGAGAGAGAGAGGAGAGAGAGAGAGAGAGAGAGAGAGAGAGAGAGAGAGAGAGAGAGAGAGTGTGTGTGTGTGTGTGTGTGTGTGTGTGTGTGTGTGTGTGTGTGTGTGTGTGTGTGTGTGTGTGTGTGTGTGTGTGTGTTAGTGAGTGAGCAGGCAGGATAAAATAAAAAGGGGAGGGATAAACATAACAAATGATTCTTTTAAATCATATACAATCACACATCCCAGTAATTTTCGTTCCTCAACACGGGTCACCACCCCTTTAGCAAAACTACTCGAGAACAAAAAGATGGTTAGCAGTAAGAGCAGAATGAAGCAGAGACCAGACACAGAGGTAGCAATGTAGCAAAGTGCGATAAGCTGCATGGCTTACTTTGTCCTCTATCAGGTCAGGAGGGCACCCCTCAGGAAAGATAAGTGTCGCAGAGGACCGTGGTGAGGGCTGCAGGGCTGTGGGTGGACCTCTCACCACTATCCCTGATAATCCTTCTTTCTTCACATAATGAAAATAAACCTGTGACCATTACCTCCATCATGACACTCTGGTGCCACTCATCCACAAAACCCAACCCCCATTTATGATATGCTGTTGACCATTGGTATCTTTCTACTCCATCAAAACTTTTTTCAATTCATATGAGCATTTTTGTATGAAATATCAATCATACTAAGGCTAACTTATTTTTCCATTGGATTTTTAAGTGCTTTCAATGTATTTGTAACATTTCAAGGAAATGATCTACACTGCTTGTGAACTGTGGCACATTCCATGAACATTATCATTGTATATAATATGAAATATACGCAACATCTGCTTGCAAGATGACTATCAAGGTATAGCAAAAGAATAGAAACTGAATTCTGTAATGAATAAATAATCATTTTTTTTTCAGGTTAAGAAAATGAGGTACAGATCTAAAATATATCAAAATTAGGAAACTACTTCATAATACTCATAAGCTTAATCTAAGTAAGCAAAACATCTGATCAGGAGAGAAAAAATACTGAATCCTATAATCTACAGACAACAATATAAGCAGAATTTATGATGTCTCTATCATATTCTGGCAATTTTTACTGATAAGTTTAAGTATAATACAGTACAATATTTCACAGGCTAAGCAGGGGGAAAGTGAGATGGAGAGAGAGAGAGAGAGAGAGAGAGAGAGAGAGAGAGAGAGAGAGAGAGAGAGAGAGAGAGAGAGAGAGAGAGAGAGAGAGAGAGAGAGAGAGAGAGAGAGAGAGAGAGAGAGAGAGAGAGAGAGAGAGAGAGAGAGAGAGAGAGAGAGAGAGAGAGAGAGAGAGAGAGAAGAGAGAGAGAGAGAGAGAGAGAGAGAGAGAGAGAGAGAAGAGAGAGAGAGAGAGAGAGAGAGAGAGAGAGAGAAGAGAAGAGAGAAGAGAGAGAGAGAGAGAGAGAGAGAGAGAGAGAGAGAGAGAGAGAGAGAGAGAGAGAGAAGAGAGAGAGAGAGAGAGAGAGAGAGAGAGAAGAGAGAGAGAGAGAGAGAGAGAGAGAGAGAGAGAGAGAGAGAGAGAGAGAGAGAGAAGAGAGAGAAGAGAGAGAGAGAGAGAGAGAGAGAGAGAGAGAGAGAGAGGAGAGAGAGAGAGAGAGAGAGAGAGAGAGAGAGAGAGAGAGAGAGAGAGAGAGAGAGAGAGAGAGAGAGAGAGAGAGAGAGAGAGAGAGAGAGAGAGAGAGAGAGAGAGAGAGAGAGAGAGAGAGAGAGAGAGAGAGAGAGGAGAGAGAGAGAGAGAGAGAGAGAGAGAGAGAGAGAGAGAGAGAGAGAGAGATGAGAGAGAGAGAGAGAGAGAGAGAGAGAGAGAGAGAGAGAGAGAGAGAGAGAGAGAGAGAGAGAGAGAAGAGAGAGAGAGAGAGAGAGAGAGAGAGAGAGAGAGAGAGAGAGAGAGAGAGAGAGAGAGAGAGGAGAGAGAGATGAGAGAGAGAGAGAGAGAAGATAGAGAGAGAGAGAGAGAGAGAGAGAGAGAGAGAGAGAGAGAGAGAGAGAGAGAGAGAGAGAGAGAGAGAGAGAGAGAGAGAGAGAGAGAGATGAGAGAAGAGAGAGAGAGAGAGAGAGAGAGAGAGAGAGAGAGAGATAGAGAGAGAGAGAGAGAGAGAGAGAGAGAGAGAGAGAGAGAGAGAGAAGAGAGAGAGAGAGAGAGAGAGAGAGAGAGAGAGAGAGAGAGAGGAGAGAGAGAGAGAGAGAGAGAGAGAGAGAGAGAGAGAGAGAGAGAGAGAGAGAGAATGAGAAAGAGAGAGAGAGAGAGAATGAGAAAGAGAGAGAGAGAGAGAGAGAGAGAGAGAGAGAGAGAGAGAAGAGAGAGAGAGAGAGAGAGAGAGAGAGAGAGAGAGAGAGAGAGAGAGAGAGAGAGAGAGAGAGAGAGAGAGAGAGAGAGAGAGTAGAGAGAGAGAGAGAGAGAGAGAGAGGTGAGATAGAGAGAGAGGAGAGAGAGAGAGAGAGGTGAGATAGAGAGAGAGAGAGAGAGAGAGAGAGAGAGAGAGAGAGAGAGAGAGAGAGAGAGAGAGAGAGAGAGAGAGAGAGAGAGAGAGAGAGAGAGAGAGAGAGACGGATAGAGACATAACCTATACCAAATAATCAAGCTTTTCTTTCCATTCATAAATAGGAGAGTTCAAAACTTTGCATATGGCATCACAGTAATGGTCAACAGGGTAGTGGAATTTACATAGCCAGCATATAGTTACAGGGAGCATTAGTGACTTCTCATGTCTAATTAATCAAGCAACAAAAATGCTGGAAAACGTTTATAAATAAAACAAAAACAAAAAAACAAGAAAAAATTACAAAAAAGTGTAAGAAATCAAACACAAGGAAATGGGTAGCAGAGGAAATGGCTCTACAAGAGCATGACAGAGCCAGAGTAAATGAAGACATAAATCCAAGCTTAAGTATATGCAACAACAGGTATCATAGTTGCATCATTTTTTACTACTGTCATCAATACTATTATTTTTGTTATGATTTTTTTCTTATCTTCAAACATAATGGTAATAAATATAATGGTAATACTGATGACAATAACAATGATGGTGATGATGATGATGGTGATGATAATGATAACAATGATGTTAATAATTCTGATAAAAAAATCATAATAACAACAATAACATTAAAGGGAAAATATCAATATTATGACTTTGAACATATAGTGTTCTTTGTAATATTTTTCTCCACAAATTTTCTGCTAAACTATGATTCTAAAAAAAAATTGGCAAATAAAATCCTGGATATTCCAAAAATTTGATGCTACAAAAATTAAAAACTACAAGAAAATTATTCTGAAAAGGAATTGAATGACTTCTTATAGTTTGTAAAAACACAAAGTCAGTAAACAAAGACAACAATACTGCAAAAAAATGCTTTCAAGTTACAATTGAAATTTCCAGAGGTCACTCCTTTTTTTAAAATAAAAGTACACTGGAGAGGAATATGATACCCTTAAAGAGGTAAACGTTTCTTCCAAATATAAATAACCTGGTGATTTTGGCAACAATTAAACTAAATAATGGATGGTGTAGTTGCAATGACTTATCAAGATAGGAGCAATGAAGAAAAAGAAAAAGAAAAATATTATTAATTCTACTGCATATCTGAAAACGATGCCAAACTATCTGTAAATATTACAACATGCATCAACAACTACCAGCACAATTTAAGAACTACTATTATTTGTACTAACTAGAGAAATACAACATATAAACATTCTTCTCTAAGCATTTCTCTTATTGGTAAAAAATGAGAAAAAGGTATATATAATAAGGAAAATATGGAAGAACAAGAAAAAAAGGAAAAAGACAATGAAAAGAGAACTTACTTGAGAGGAAAGGCTTGTGTATTTCTTCCCTTGTAATCTAGTAGACTCCAGGACATAAAGCTATAATTGAAATGAGCTTTTTAGTACCATGCATTTACTGTACATTACTGCACTGTATTATCAGTGTTATAATGAAAATAATAAAAATAAAAAAAGTGTAATTATAAGTATAAAATATAAGCTACATGAATGTGTGTGTATGTGAGTGAGTGTAAATTACTGTCATATTATACTGACATATATCAAAAGGCAATAGGCAAATTATACCATAACCTGATATCTTCTATCTGTACCTAAATGGTGAACTAATTTAACAATGTAGATTATTTCTATGGCATTGCAGACATTCAATACATCTTACGCTTAAAAGCACCTATACTAAAATAAACAAAATCTCTTGCTTGCCTTGGTTGAGAAATACGGCTCACAGAAAGCAATCTCCAACAGAAGTGTTCCTCCAAGGACATTTTTCAGCAAATAACTTGGCTCAGCTGTTATCTGTTCACTGAAGCGAACACCCTTTGTGCGGTAAACTTTGTCCTCTGATTCCCTTCCACCACTACGTCTATCAAAACATGAAACACTCTAGACTAGATGGACAAAATATTTAGGATAGATTCACATTTTGAAAATAGTTATATCATTTTATATACCTAAAACACAATGTATGTCTCACCCTTTCTGTTGTGGGGCATGTGCAACATTCAGTGTCAAGAACCCTAAACTCTGCAGGTATTGTATATACTCTTTCAGATAGCTAGAGCACAGAGCACCATGCCATTTGTCATCTCCACCGGTGACATTTCGTCGCCGTTGCCCAGGACTGGAAACATTTGATTTCAGAGACAAAGACCGTCGCAGGTCTGTCGGCCCAGCACCAGTGGCACTCTTCATGGAGTTACCTGAGTCATGGCGAGATCTCTGTGGAAAATATATATGAATATCAGAGAAACTGAAAAAGTTTTAGTGAATCATAGCTAGAGGCTATAAATATGATGAGGCAAATTTTGAGAGTAGATAACTAAATAATATAATAATTATGGGCCTTAAGGGGACCATCCCTAAAAGGGGCGTGGCCAATTATGGGGGTGGGGGGTCATATTGGTAAATATTTCTAAGAAATGAAAGGTCTTATGGATTTTCTTGATTTTTGGATATTTTATGTATTTTCATATGCCGCATCTTTTGATACCAAATTTGTTGGAGTTCCTACGTGGGGCGCTGCCCCCCGCAAAAACATTTTTTTCAATTTTTTTTCACATGTGTCTGCGCAAAAGATTCCTTGTCCCAGATGATTCTGTGTCATGAAAAAAAATGTGAATGAACATCAATGAATTCCTAAGAACACTACCAAGCCCTTTTTTTGAAATTCGATTTAGTTTCCTCAGAAAAAAAAAAAAAAAAAAAAAAAAAAAAATTACATTTCTTAGTCTTCTTTTCGATTTTCAAAAATTCATATAAAAAAGTAAGCAACATTTCAATAAAATCGCTTGGTAGGTGTCTGCGCATTTCCACAAGGTTTCCAAAGATATATCCAAAATTTTAATCGGATAAAAACTCTAGGACAAGGAATCTTTTGAAGCTCGAAAAAGAAACATCGAAAAAACAAACAAACAAAAAGTTGGATATTTGAAGATCATTTTTTATATTTTTTCATTTATGGATCTTTACCATTTCATTACTGTAGAAACTACTCTTATTCCTCTTTCAAACACACTTTATAGAAACAAGCAAACAAATGAGTCCCGTGAAAAGGACCCAAGACAATATGACCGTTATATAAAATTGGTTGTTTCGTGTTTTATACCTCTTTTATTGCTATTTTCTTGTGTATATATTCGTTTACATGTGTATACGCATGTAAATTATTGTAAAGGTACATGGTTGTGCACGTGTATATGCGTATATGCGCATATACTTATTAGATCCATAATTATTCATTTCATTTATTTTTTTTATTTTTATTCCAGTCTATTTTTCTTCCCCATCGCCTAACCACGTGATTCAGCCTCGAAACAAGCGATAAACGTTTAATCACCAGCGGAGTACTTGTTATGGAGGGACAATAAATTGTTTAGTGTTCGTTACAAATAACCGTTCAGAAAACGTTGATAGATCAAAAATATTTTGAAATACAAATCTCTTATATCAAATCTCGTATATTCGTTTAAAGTGGATGCTTCTTATGATGTAACAATAGGTATCAGATATTTTTAGGCCGATTGTACGAGTTTACAAGAATAAATTCAATCATAATCTTTCTTTACATTTATTTTTTCTCGTAAATGGATTTATAATGACATAATAATGTTTAATCGATTAATTAGTTTCAAATGAAAGCGCATATGTAAAACTATTGCAATCAGAAAAGTCTAAAACGGTGGCGACGCTTGGAAATTTGTCGCATGGGTCCCTGCGAGATGGCCTTGGACACGCATGAGCCTCCAGTCCGTGTGAATATCTATTCGTTGTGAGTTTATTTTTGGAGATAAAGACTTGTAACTGCTTATGTATTATCACCGAACCCTAAACATACTTTTATGATGAATTTGTCAACATTGAATCATATCTACTATATTTTATGGGAAAGAAATTTGAAAAGGCGCATAATTATTTTTTATTTTTCTTTGTCTTTCATATCATAAATCTTTCAGTTTGGTATAAAACTGTTATAATAAGACACTTTTATCTTCCTGTGATCCATTTCAATAGGTAATGTCAAAATATAATGCATCTTATTACCTCCTGTGAAGCTAGAGTGCGGAAAGGTCAAAATCACTGACACAGCGGCAATGGGACTTGGGGTTCTGGCGTCGCGTACAGCTCAAATTTTTCACCGCGGAAGCTCATATCCACGTGGGTGATTCTACTCTCATTTACGAATATGAAACTGATCATAACTCATTTTTGACCACTCCGACCCAAAATCTCCGTCTCGCCCCCCCCCACCGCCAGGGACAGTCCCCTTAAGGAAGAAGAAGAAGAAAAAGAAGAAGAAGAAGAAGAAGAACAAGAAATTAACAATGTATAAAGCACTCACTGGTTCTGGAGTTTTGCTTCCAAGAGGCAGTACTCTATCACAGGAAGCTTGAGGATCTGCCAGGCTGTGATCTCGGGTGGCTGCCACCTGCCAGCGCCACCTGAAATGTATTAACCATTAGCTAACGGGTGGCATATACATACATGCAATGGCTGTTGTGGACCGAAAAACAGATGGCATCGTAGCATGCTCATTTCCACACCACTGGCTCGTCAGACAGACTTTGTTTTTCTCCGATAGTAGCGGTTACATATATTTGGTAAAGATTTTAGGCAAGGTAAGCCTTCAAAATTATAACATTTTTATTAATTATAGAAAAATATGAGCTTTTAGGTACCAAATGTCCCTTGCAAACTAACAAACTAGCCAGGCGCAACAATCCCATTATTATGTCCACTTGCCAAACTTTTATACCCATTAGCACTGGGTTATGAGAGATACTTTTCTCACTATTCAAGTTCTAGCTATACAAACAGTGCTTTAGTACTGTTTGTATAGCTAGAACTTTATGGTTACAACCCCAATATTTTTTTTTTTAATATGAATGTCTTCTTTAAGGATCAGCCTTCAGTTTCACTGTATGCCTGATTTATATTGAAATAAATATATGCAGTGCTGAACCATACTCATGTTGACAAATGTAGAAAGGGTATAAATGAGAATAAGTATCGTCACAATATATTCAAAACCAGGCAAATACATCTCTTGTATTGAGAAGATATTTATTCTCATTCAAACCTTTTCTACACAGTGCTATATATCTGATCTTATACATGACAAAGTGAAGTAGTTATCACCAATTCTATGCAAAACGTACCGTGGCAGGAAAAGTAGTGGTGTATAACAAACATGAGCAATGCGTGCAGTCTGCTTGTAGAGAGCTAATATCTTGTCATTGAAAACTGGACTTGAATGTCCTGGTGCCTGAACCATGGTCTGCAACAGTACTTTCCGCTGATTTTCTGAAAAGGAAAGCATAAAGTCAACCTTGGTGATTAACAATTTTTAAAATTTCATTATATAAATGAAAATATATTATACAAAGAATAATACATAATAATAAATACCATATGACAAAAGTGAATAAATAAATCAGGCCTAAATGATATTCAAACCAAAAACTAACAGCAATCAGATCAACTTACCTCTCTGCAAATTTAGGCGTCTTATCTCAATCAGCTGTGTGCCATGACGGAGTTCCAAGTCTTTGATGTTTCCAAAGTTTGAGTTCTTCAGTGGACGAGGAGGTCTACTGTCTCTGTACACATCACCCAAGTTTGGCATTGATATCACCTAGAAAATAGCATTAAAAAAATATTTAATAATAACAATGTTTAAGAAACTGACTATCACATATCTTTATCATTCATTCTAATATATTAGTTTCATTCTAGTCAAAATCTGACACCCACAGATGCATAAAAAAAGACATTTTGAAAGAAAATCAAATAAATTAAACAGAAAATATAAATACAACATCAATAAAAAAGTAAAATGGCTAAGGAAACAACAACACTGCATGTGTTCCATTTCATTCCTTAACCTATCAATATTCCTGCATTATGGCTGACAATAACACATACTACATTACAGATATACATCTCTAGCCATAAACTTCCTTCACAAAACTTACCTGCACCCTCCTATTGCCCCTTTCAGTTGCTGCAAGCATGTCCCTTACTGGAGACTGGTACTTTATCAGAGCCTCCACATGTCCCTGAGAGCCAACATATGGGTTATCCTGAAAATAAAATGCAACTGGAATACTTCACTTCTGCCATCGAGATTCAAGCATGACCTATCTTAAAATCGTTATATTGTATTTACTATTACATTTGGTCACTAAATTTTGAATAATGGTTAAGCTGGCTTCATACCACAAAGACCCATTACCTGCAACCCTAACTTGATTGCTCTTTTACTTGAGTAACTGATGTCTATCATACAAAATATTCAATCAACAAAAGCCCTTGAAAAATCCTTTCCCCATCCCTCCACACTTTGCCTTTTCCTACACTATTCTCCAATTCCTTAATTTTTCCCTGCCCCTTCATTTTATTTACTTCCTCTTCCAAATCTCTCCATCTTTTCCCTTTATTCCTCTCCTAATCATTTTTGTGCATACCTCTTTCTTCTTGTCTTGTGCCTTCCGAATGAAAGGCTGGTTGTGAAATAAACCAATCTTTTGGAGGACAACGGATGAGAGCAGGCGTGTGCGAGCACTGGACCAGTGTGCCAGCTGAGTCATGGCTGTGTGCAAAGACTCACACTGATCCTTTGTCCAATTGTAAGTGTAGATTACCAGCTGTTTAAAGAAGGAAAATAAAATGTTAAGGCCCTATCACACTATTACTTTTTCTGTGTTTACTGGATCAGAAGAAGAAGATGATGATTCTATATACACTTGTACATAAGATAACCAGGAGGAAAAATGGGCATATAGCTTGCAAATAAATGAAATACACTTAACCTTTCAGGAGTAACTTCTACTAATACAATGAACTTCCACTTTCTCTTGCTCCTAAATCACTTTATAAAACAGACTATTCTACAAATCTCTTGCTGACATGATGTTTACAAGAAACTACAGACCTACTTCAGCAAAATATTCATATACACATACATACCTCTTGACCAAAGAGAGTAGCCAAAAGCAGCTTTTGCCGAGGAATGAAGACTGAGTCTGTTGTTTCACAAGTCCACAGCGAACCAGCAGCTGATGGGAGGCTGGTAGGAGTGGAAGGCACTGTCACAGGAACCGATATTGGTATGGTAGATGATGCCACAGTACTTGTTGGTATGGCTGATGTTGGCACTGTTGGAGGGGCAGTTCCAGGTGTACTGAGACCACTGGCTGAACTTTCCAGTTTGGTAAAGCTTGAGTCACCACCACTGGCATACCTGCCCCTAGACCAGAGGACCAGCGGGGGGTATCTCTGACTGTTTTTACTACCTGAAATTAAATGAAATTAGAAGGCTACTTGTTTTACAGATCTGCTCTTTTCGCAAGCATGAAAAGAACAGATACAATATATGTGAATCTTACAGCCCAAATCATAAAAAAAAAAAAAAAAAAAAAAAAAAAAAAAAAAAAAAAAAAAAAAAAAAAATTTCATATGATGATAATGGCCATGGTAAGCATATAGCCACTGTAGCATTATATACTGCTTTAAGGAAATATCAATTTAATGATATTTTTTCTAAAAGTTTGTAATGTGCTACAACACAAGCTTAAATATGGCACCTTATTATATCATTTTAAAGATAGCACAGGGAAAGACTTCCAGCCTAAAATAATATGACAAAATTTTACCAATCAAAACACCTATAAAGATGAGAACAAACCTTTCACTGTCGATACATAATAATCATTGAAACTGTCTTCTGAAAGTGTTGCCCACCACTGCTGATTGTTACGGCCAATGACAATAAGGTTATTGTGTTCATACCCCATGCCTGAGTCAGACTTCAGAATCTGTGGGACCTGGAATCATTTATTCCTATCAACTATGTTTCACTCCTTGGAATTCTTGAGCGTTGAACATGCAAAAAAATTATGCAAACGAAATATAAAAAAGTATAAAAATTGAAAATCAATCTTTGCCAACTTCCAGAAATGTTGATATTTCAGGATAGCATGTGGTAACTAGTTCAGTTCAGGAAAAATATCCAAATAAATTATATACTCTCACTTCTTTACAATTTCTGTCAAAAGTATATACTTGCAGGCATGTATATAAATCTATAATATACAATTTTCTTATAAAAAAAATTGCAGTTTTTAAATGAATATCAGTGTAACCTCCCCCCTCTCAAAAAAAATCCTTTCTTGTGAAGATAATTGTATTTACCAAGTATTATCTTTACTGAAATAAAAGATATCACATACATTAAAGGATTGATACAGACCTTATTAAATTCAACCAAGTTGTAAACTGGAGGCTCTCCATCTTTCACAGATTCTTCAAAGATTTTTGTAGTTGTGTCATTTGAATTTTGTGCTACCCATTTCTGTAGCTCTGTTATAAAAATGGGAACTGCATGTCTGAAATTAAAATTAGGAATATTCTAGAAAAGACAATCTTCCTCCCAAAAGTGAATCACATAAGGAGTATCACACACAACAAAATTAACCTACCCAAACATACACAAACTATATATACAAACCAACTAACAGAGCTATGGAATCCAATTCTACGCATATATGCATTTACATGCACACATATGCACATGCACATACAAACACATCCACACACAAACACATATTCAAAGTGAGACAAAATGAAACATGTATAACAAATACAGCTCTCTAAGTCCTCTTTTATCCATTCATTCCATACTATTCTCCATAACAGAGACACTTTATCAAAGATTATTCACTCATAATAATTATTCTGATGAATAAACTGACACATTAATAATTTCTCTTATGTGGAGAAGTTCATGATTCTCATTTACAATTTTTTTCACCAAGCAAGTATTCTTTATCTGGGATGAGAGTCTTTATTCCCTTACAACCTCCATGCACTCTGGATCCTCCTTTCAAAGCTTCCCACACAGTACCTGGTTGTAATAGTAACGGTATGTTTCCGAACAGCATGCTCTCCTCCTCCCTTTTCTACCAACTCCTTCCGTACAACATGTTCGCCCTTTTCCACCAATTCTCGTCGAACAGCATGTTCCCCCTTCTCTGCCAGCTCATGGGCATATTCCAGCCAGTCAATCATTATTCCCGAGAATACTGGATGCAAGGTGTTGGAAACATTCTGTTCCCATGGCTGATTCTGTAAAAATACAAAACATCTATTTTTTTAAGATGGCAGAACGGCTTACAGAGCAAACACATGTTTATGTGTATGTATAGATGGTATGTATGTATGCATGTGTGTGTGTGTGTGTGTGTGTGTGTGTGTTGTGTGTGGTGTTGTGTGTGTGTGTGTGTTGTGTGTGTGTGGTGTGTGTGTGGTGTGTGTGTGTTTATATATATACATATATATATATATATATGTATAATATATATATATAATATATATATATTATATATATATATATATATATTATATATATATATATATAAGTATATATATATATATATATATATA